AAAGGACAGATTACATGTCAGTTCAGTGTCTTTAAATGATGAAGCAGTCTAATAAAGAATTTTGGTAACCTGTCAAGTTTGTGATCATAGGGAATTTGGAATAAATACTAACACCGCTTTTATTATTTTGAAATACTCAATGGGTGCGTCATATGTTATTACTCTACTGATGAGCGACCCACAGTAAATTATGATAGGGTTTCAGCAAGAAACTTAGTAAAACGTGTTTTCCAATGCGGTAAGAAACATAAAGTTTCAGAAACGACATCATGTTTTATCTCACTGTTATTCTGAATAAGCCTATCGTTAAAAAACGAGTGAAAGCTGACACTTATTATACCAATTTTCAGAGGGGATCGATGCAATGTACCTTCAGGCCACCGAGCGGTGACCTCAAAACTTATAAATTTGTCGGTATAATACTGTCTAAGAGGCTGCATTTTATCCACTAGCTTTTTTTCCAGCAACATAATATTAGGAACGGGCACCAGCCCGTTGACTGAGACATGAAGAGATGGACAACCACTCTTTACTGTAAAGTAAGTGCAGATGTTAAATACTTTTGATTCTCTATAGCTTTTGGTAGGGTTAATCCGTCACGTTTCTTCGATCAACTCAAACTCCGAGATGTCAAGCCACCCTTAACTAATTGGTCTGATTCATGTCCTCCAAAGGCGATGGTTAATTCTAATATTTTTCCGGTAGTAAAACGACCGAGAAAGTTCCATCGTGGTTCTATACTAAAACCTCTTTTTCCTAATTTTCATGAACTTTCTGAAAGAGCGAGTACCATAAAGTTTTTCACGTTTCGTTCGCCGTATTATTCTTTGGACAGAAGCTTGCGTCAAGGTTATAGACCAGTATTTTAAGAGAATCAAAGTTGGGTGAATAACAACATTCTTCCTTTTTACATTTCAAAGTGCGAAAAGGACCACCTGAGACACACTGAAAACCATACATGCAACTTTGATAACTTCTCTTTTAAGTGTCTTAAATCGAAAAGTATACAAGATCCATATGCCAATTGTGAAAAAACGTCTTTCGGGAAAACCGGTAACGTTAAAGCGCATATTTGGCCAGTTTGACAGTAAAACTTTTCACTTACTCTCCAGGAATTTTACCTAGTTTCATTTATAATTCGGAAATATAGCGTTTCTTCCGTCATTCCGAAGGGACTCAAAAATACTGGAATGTATCCGGACCTGAGCTACAGAGTTAATTAGAAGACTCGAAACTAAACTTTATGGAGATCAGCTGAAGTCAGTTAACCTCTACATATTATAGTTCAATAATCCTCAAAAGTGACCTTTCAGTGACTTAAAGTACCCTAAATACTCTTCAATGACCATTCAAATGCTTACTTCAGCCCAGTCTCAACACAAGGCTTAGAGGCCATACCCAGGAATTGGAGGCATACCTAGCAGACTGTATTGTAGACACACCTTCCACCCTTTACTGGTAGTATACTTACGGCATTCGGTGCCGATGTAGGTGGTTCAGAATACTTCCAAAGAGTCCTTCGAGAGATGTGACATATTCTCAAGCATTCAGGACAGGATTTCACCATAATTTACTAAAACTTCTCTTTTACTGGTTAAATAGGCTTCATTACTAAAAATCCGGAATCCTGTTAGGCTGAATCTTCTTTCGCCGCTTGCATAAACATTAGAATATTTTTAGAAAGTTCCATCATTTGCTAAACAAAGTGTGAATATACTTTTATATTATCCCTTCGGAGGAGGAACTATAGTGAAGAGGTTTCTTGTAAGTGTCGAATTTCAGTTCGCTAAACTTCGGATAAACAGAAGACCGGGTTCTAACTTGAGTTTAGAATTTGTTATACGGCACTAAAAGGTAATCACACTTTAAAGAGAGCGATATTTGTTAGACTCGATTGAGCGCCATTTCAAAGTTTATACTCGAATGTTGCATTTATTATCCTTATATCTGAGTAACATGTGTTATTAATTTTAAACTTACCATTGGTAAATTCTGTCAGGTTCTTTTATAAATAAATTTCCTTCGAATTTAGTTTTCATGCTCATCGTACCTGACCTAACTTTTGGCTAAAGCTAAACGTTTCATTACTGTCACTCCAGTGAACCATGTTCAGTCACAATAATGTGAATGCATCTGAACTACGTATTTACATACATAACGCTTTTCAATTTTCGGACTTTAAGTAGTTTATATGTCAGCAGAAGAATCATTTTTTGGAAAACGTATGACCATACCGATTTATTTGACGCCGATATATTCTCACTGACAATCCGTCTATGTATTAATGCGTTTCTAGGCACAGAAAACGGTGAATATAACTTAATTGGTTTAATAGAGAGTCGTTGCTATATGCCCTATCGACATTTTCATCCTGGGCCGGGAACAAAGGCAACGATTTGTGCATTGTATCCTGTATTCGCATCGAGTTAACTGAGTAAACTTCTCTTTTGTTCCACCTTTTTGATTTGCTTATCTTTCAAGTACGACCGACGAACGAATTTTCCACCCTTTATACGGTCATTACTGAGTAATCGCGGAAGTAAAGCATAGAGTAGCAAGACAAGGGTTGTCTCGAATTTAAGATAAACTCCTAGTAAATCAGTAAACAGAGTCCTTAAAACCAATTTATTGCATGGCAACACCGGTCAGTCTCTGCCAAACCCATTGTGTAAACGTGTGCAGTTTAGTTTTCTGTAATGAAGAGTACATCTGCATTAACACCACCGGAAATGGTTCTGATATTTTGGTATTTCTGCAGACTTAGATATTGACTGATATATTTTTTTCCATTTATTTTATACCTTTTAGATTACACACCTGACCAGAAAATCGCTTACACCACTTGCTCGATGCAAATCTAAAAGTACAAGTTAACATCCTACCTACCAGATGAAATGTCCTTATCAAGGTTCTTAGAAAGTGGAATTACTTCAGGTTTGATTGTGAAGTTTTTTTTACTGTTATTTCTATTGTGGTATTTTTTTTCTAAATCATTAGCTATTTCATAGCAGGTTACAAATGTAAAGAAATTGTTTGGTTTGCATTTCCTCTCTATGAAAGTACTTAGCATTGTTCTTTTGCATATTTATAACAGCTGTTTTCCTATATCCGAATCATCACAACGGCAACATTTCCCTGACTCAGATTTATCATATAAGTTTACCCAAATTCGTCATCAAGAATCTGTCTCATTTCATCTATTTTTAATGGTTAGGTAATATACTTTAGCGCTGATTAAAGAGTACTACCTTTACTCAGTAAACGCTTTAATAATGTCTGAAAGGCCGTAAGTTGTCTGGAATACTGATTTACGGGAATCCACATGAATCAGGTGACGGAAAACAAAATGAGAAATGAGCATCCGGAATCATTGACGTTTATCGTTGTGAGTAAAAAGAAATGTAAGAGCGAGTGAAGTTCGACCGACAGATCTGGAGTCTAGAAATAAGCACATGTGAGCCAGTGGGATTAGTCTTATATGACATAATATTCCTGACATTACTGCTTGGACTAGCGATCGGTAGCTTTGCGTACCATTTTGCGACCAAACCAAAACATGGCACAGACAAGTGGACTGAGCCATGTTGTTAGGTGTCAACTAACTGGTTGGGTAGGCGAAACGATAGTAACCGACGGTTAGAGACCTTGAATGACATGGCTCAAAATCGTTTTCAATGACATAGGTGTGTCCACTCTTTGTGGTTTCCCAAATTCTACTCTGAATTCCTCATGACCTTCATATTTCTCTTCATAAATTTATTATACTATTTATTTACTATACTCCCCGAATAACATCTTCAAACCCTAACTTTTCCGCCTACTGCCCATACTTCCACTACCTCTACCATTTCGGAATTTGAATTAACAATTGTATCTCCATGCTAATTTGGTATGGCCACCTGAACTGATATACAAGTACGTACGAAGTTCTACGTGGTTGCTGACTCGCTGTACCATATTGTTATATTCATATATCTACCATCGATTTTCTTCCAACCTGCACCAGTGCTAACCAGTGTATTAAAAATCTAGCTTACAGCATCATTTTAAATGTGTTTTTATAAAGTTTATTGTTAACAATGTATGCAATCATACATAATTCATCAACCTTGGTGTTCAATTTATCGTTAACTTTTATACCTAGTCTCAAATCATTGTACTATGTTGTTTGTAATGTTTAGAATTTTCAGAGTTGAATATTTCTGAAGAAAAAGAGAACATTGAATTACTTACACCACGTGCAATGAAAAGATGCAGTCGCAAAAGTAAGTCTGATTAGTTGTTTAATGCCACATATTTTTTAGGCGAATTGAAATCCTCGTTTAATGCAATAAATCTAAGTATAAGACAATAATGCAACTCAAAAGATTAAGTTTGATACCTCATTAAAATGTCCATTGCTTTAAAAATGTATGTTTCAGTGTTTTATAGGGATACTACCACCCCTCGCCCTAACTCAGGTCTCATATGGTCGAAAAATGAAAATTTCGGAAATGCCAAAAAAGATCATTTAGCCAACATGAGACAAAGGGTAATAGAAGTGTTTTTGGGCTTATTCGCATCAGGCTGGGCTGCCTCTTCTACTATCCTACGCCATATATGTGTACACCATATGCTATACTGCTATACAGATCTGAAGGTCTCCTATGAGACCAGAGGTTCGCTGTGAACATTGTGGATGGCTTGACATTGCTTTGGTAAGCATTGTTAACAGTCCATATACAAAATTGGTTAGCAGGGTGACCGATTTCATTGATACCAATAGTGGCTATTTTGCGACATTCCCGAGGGCCATTGTCATCGGGGTGCTTGCTGTATTGTATATCACCATTGCTAATAATAATTAATTTTGACAGTCATGTAAGCGGAATGGGTCGAAATGGCCTGTTCATGCTGTACATATTGATTGACGCGATCATGGATCGGCAGTATATATACCATTGTGTGTATATGAAACGGTGTGAATGGTCCACCAGGATATCAGGTACCTGTTTGGTGGTTGCACCACAGGATTGAGCCGAACTGTTCATGTAGTAATGGTAAAACGTGTCCAGTCTATTTGGTTCTCCTGAAAACCAATGTAAAATTGCCCTGTATAATACAGGGTAAATTTATATAAAATTAAATTATCAGTGTTTTATCATGTAATTTCGGCCCTGTGACTTTTGTTGCAACTCTAATCGATGTTCTATAGCCTTTTCATTTAATTTAGATATTCACAACTCACTTCAACTTTTTCAAACACATTTGGTTCGTGTTTTCACCATGGTGATATTTTTGTTTGCACACTAAACTCTCACGAAAAACTCACTTATGTAAACATGTTCGACTTTCGAATCGGAAATATTATAGGTTATAAGCATCTAATAAGAATTTAACAAAATAAATCCACATTTTTGTCAAATTAAGAAAGGGCACTAAGTGTCCCGTTATCTGAGTGTTTCGAAGTTACTTATTTGTTTAAGCTATGAAATTACACGGTTCTTTTACAAATCGATGATGTATTCTCTTTTGTGCTTCAAAAAAGAATCGTTCATGTCTGACAGTTTTTCTTGTCGTTAACTTATTGTACGATTATATCACTTGGGAATGATGTATCACGCTTATTTTTTGTGATATTTCAATGGAATAATATTTATATGTTTAATGAATAGCATAAACCGATCTAAGTTAGACGACTATTCGAAACGGGGAAGCACTGGTTGTCCGTTGGATGCTAGCATGGAACTCCTCAGTAATGCATATCTACGGACCCGCAACCGGGACTCGAACCCAAGACTTTCGGTCTCGTGCGCTAGTGTTTAACCTTCAGACCACTGGTTTGAGATCCAGTGATGTAGATGTGCCCTGTTGAGGATTTTTATGCTACAACAAAACGTCCATCCAGTGCTTCCAGGTTTCTAATGGTTGGCTAACTTGAATCGGTTTGTGATCCAGTTAAATTCAACAATCTTCACAAACCCATGCTGTTATTTATGTACTTATTGTTCTATTTTAATCTATTCTTATATGCTGAACAAGATGAAAGTTTTTCGTTAGTTTCAGATTTTATTTCATTTGGCTTAACATAGTCATAAAGTTTTGTGTTTAATTCCCCCTTACAGAGACATCCAACACGGTGTCTAACAAGTTTGATGAAAAACTGGTTGAAAATGTAAGTTTTCTAAGTATAGTTAGGTTTCCATTTATCTGTCAAATAAACGTAATAACCTTAAAATTTTTTTTGTATGGGGTTTCTTCCAACGTTTAACTAATTATTGATACATTGAGTATTATATCCTCAGTCTTTAGAAGTTGAAATAATGTTTTCTTAAAAGTTGATTGTCGCTTTGATTGGACTGAGTCATATTGGTAGATGTAGACTACCTGGTTGGGGTCCGCGAGACGAAAGTCACCAATGGTTAGAGACCTTGAACGACATGGCTCAAAATCGTTTTCAATGGCGCAAGTGCATCCATTCTTTGAGCTCTCTCAAATCCTAATCTTCTGGATTCGTCAGCACCTCTACCTTTGTCTTCTAACCTTATCTCACTGAATTATACTTCTTGAATAATATCTTCGAACCCTATTCTTCTTCATTACCATTAATACCTCTACTATCTTTATCACTATGGGATTTGATTTGACATTTGCGTCTCTGTGCTAATGTGGTATGGCAACATGAACTTATATATATGCGTACGAAGTTCTATGTTGCATCTGACTGATATTCTCAGTCTTTAGAAGTTGAAATAATGTTTTCTTAAAAGTTGATTGTCGCTTTGATTAGATCACAACAACCATTATTGTAAATCACTCATTTGCATAATACAGACTTATGCACTCTGTTTTAACCCTCTCTATTGACGTAACGAGAACTAATAGTACTTCGGAACTGCTCAAGTCAAAATGAGGTTGCTATTCTAACTGATGTTTCATTTCAGAGAGAAAATGGTGAAGTTAGCTGTCTCTAACTTTTTGTATTGTTTCCAGTTACAACCAAGGTACTTTTGCATATTTATAAAAAGTGTATTCCAATCACGTACGATGATGGTTTGTATTGAAGTATGTTGAAAGAAAGCTTGACGTGGTCATATCAAGATTTGGCATCTGTCCGTGAGGACACTGACTATGTATTAGGTACAGACTACCTGGCTAGTATCCGTGTCTTTATCGTCACCAATGGCAAGATACTTTGAATCACATGGCTCAAAATTGTTTGCGATGGCTCAAGTGCAGTAACTCTTTGTTTTCTCTAAAATCCTGAAATTTAAATTTCCCATGAATTTTTTCACTAAATTCATATTTTCTCAAACCATGTTTTCCATAGCTAATCTTTTTACCCAAGAATCGAACCCAGAACTGTCAGCCTTACGTTGAAACGCTTGCCCCTAGACCACCATTGGGCCCAACATCTAATTATGTTAATGGTTAACTTTCCTTTTTATTGATTATTCTATTTCTGTAATATTAAATTTCAGACAAATCAAGTCAGAGTCCTTAGATGCCTACTTCTTACAACATGGAGATTTCATGAACGATAAAACAAGTAATCATACTCTGTCCAAACTTCGTGTTGGAAATCATCCTGGAATACCTGATCCAGTCGCTCTTGAAGCAATTTCGTAATTCTTATCAACCTAAACAGTTACCTATTTTGGAGAAATTGCGGTCAGAATTAGGTACACGCTTATTTAGTAATTGGACAATTTATTTGCGGTAAGTTTTAGGTCTGTTTTTTCTATGAACTCATTGATATTTGTTTTAATTAAGATCAAGTTTCATCTAGAAACGCTTACATTGCTTGTAATTGCTTTGATTTTCTCTGTCAGTTCGACTAATATGTTAAGCTATCGATAGTCTACTCATTACTCTCGTTCATTCACAAAACTATTCAGTTAAAACGTTGTGATGACCAGGTACAGTACCTCATACTATCCTGTGTTATTCCGAATTACTGAACTCATACCATAAAATATAAGTACTTACTTACTTACATGCACCTGTTACCCCCAACGGAGCTTAGGCCGCCGACCGGTATTCTCCAACCTACTCTGTTCAAATAAAATATAAGTAATATGTTTAAATATTTATAAAACTAGTATATTTATGGTAAAACTGACTGGTGGATTTCTAATTGATTTACAGTTATGCATGAACAGTAAATAAAAGAAAAATGATTATTGGATCGTATAAAAGATCGAAATTCAAACAATATAGATATGCCATAAACTAAGTGTTTAGTAAATACACGTTAAAAATATCAGAAAGACTGGTGTCCCCCAAAGTAAAGTTTCCAAAATATCGGCATTTTCATCTATTTATCCAGTCCTGTCAACTGTTGATTATCGCCAGCAGTAAAGAATTGGAAATGACGAACTGTAAGAGAAAATATAGTACGACCTAGTAAGGTTGTGTTAAGTAAAAAATAAATTCATGATGCGAAGTGACTGAATGAGATTTTAACAAATTAAGTCATTGACTTTCTTTGTTTTTTTATGCTTCCTACTACGTAGTTGGAATATCTGCATTCCTTATAATTTTAAATTACTTGAGATATAATTGCCTCCCAGATGTTCTGGTACGACTGATAGCGGTGACGATCCGCTCTCCCTCTCCGAATATTCTCATATGATCTCGCGTGTATAGCCGCTGTCAGGACAGTCCTACTCATAGTGGGGTGGGTGTTGTTTAGAAGTTAGGAGGATGAAAAGTGAATTTCCAGCGCTTAAACCAGGTTGGTGCGCGCAACCCTGATTTCAAAACCAATAATGCACGTCGAAACCGGTATCCCAGTAGGACAAACGGTGTTTGGGCCTATTGTTAGTCACCAGGCAGTCTACATCTACCAACATGACTTAGTCCACTTGTCAGTGACCTCATGGAATTGTGTTATGTTTTGGTTTGGCCACTTCTAGACTTCTTTCAACCTACTCCTACACCACAAAACATCGCTCGTCGAGACAGTCGGTAATTGGGCATGCGTAACATATGTCCCAACCACCTCAACTGATGAAGTTTCATTACTTCATCTATTGACCTGCCATCCTTATCTAGTACTAGTTTCCTAACGATAGCATTGCTTACTCAGTTGTGTCATGATATACGAGCAATGTTTCGAAGAAATCTATAATCGAATACCAGTGACCTATGAATATCTTCTACTCTGACTGGCCATGTTTCGCATCAAAACAGTGAGAGAGAGCGAACTGCTGCGCTGTACACTCGCTGATGATGTTGTTAGGTTCAGAAGAACGATGAAAGCTCCAAAACCAGAACAGCATCCAGCTCAGAGAACGAAACACCACCACAGAACCTGTTGAAAAATAAAATTACAACACCTAGAAGAAATAAGAAAAACACCACGTTACAAAAAACAAGTAGACTAAGCCTTACATTTCATACGTAAGTAAACTGTTTAATATAAAGGGTTCCAAAGACTACCAACTGTAAGGGATTTTAAAAACAACAGAAGTACAGTTCTTAGAGAAAGGATAAACTAAATCAGTGGAAAAAAAGTAATTTTTCGATTCCCAGTATCATGGAATGACTCCAGCTTCTAAGGAACTTGCTCACACCTATCACCTTCAATAAAGCATAGGCCACCGACCAGTATTCTCCAACCTATTCTGTCCTGTCCTTCCGTATCCGGTTCCGTTCAATTTCCGTTCATTCTTCTCATGTCTGTCTTCATTTCTCGACATAATCTGTTCCTTGGCTTATAAGAAATTACTGCCTAATTAAATTCTGACGACTTGACTATGTGGAACTGTAACCAAAAAACAAACAATCTAACTCTATCTGTCTATTTCTTGTATTTTAGTGAAGGATTTAATATTCTATTATATGGAATCGGATCCAAACGACATGTTATGGAGGATTTTCGAAAGCGATATTTATCTAAAGCAAATTGTATTGTGATCCCAGGTTATAATCCTTCAACCAATATACGACAAGTTTGTTTTTGATAGTTGTTTTTTTATGTACATTGTCATTTATTTGCATTGCACACAATGATATTCTCTGACCACAGCTTTTAGTTAAAAAAAAATGAGATCCTCGGAAAAAAAATCTCCCTGAGAATGTGACAAGATAAGTTCCATAGTCGTTGAGTTTATTTATACCTGCTGGTACACCGTGTTAAGAAAGGATTCACGAGAAATTGATTCGATATGTATAATTCAACAAACCTTAATGTGAACAACACCTCGTAAATGTTCTTTTAAAAAAAATTGTAAAACTAGATTATGAAGAGTACCATACTAGAACGAAACGGCTGTTCGATGCATCCAGGTTTCTAATGGTGATCTATCAATGATTGGTTCTTTATTTCAGTGAAAAACAACCGTCTCCATAACTCTATATTAATATTATACAATGTGCTCACTAGTGACTAGCTTCGTGAGGAAATTCTTGGAGTTCTAGTGAGAAGCTGAGGCTAGTGTAGTTCTGTCCTATCGGGTGTAGGCAGTAACTACCGAAACCGATGGGTGAGATAGCGCTATAACTCAGACTGATTAGAGTTACACATTAACACCGTTGGATGCCGAATCATAGGTCTAGAGGTTAAGCTTTCGCGTGCGAGATATAGGGTCCTGAGTTCGATTCCCACAAATGGGAGTCAGTTACAACGTATAACTTCGTATGCACGCACATCAGTTCAGGTTGTCATACTACATTAGCACAGAGACGCAATTATCACTTCAAATCTCATAGTAGTAGAAGTATTAGCAGTAATCGGAGAAACTGGGGTTCTGGGAAATTATTCAAGAAGTATAATCTAATGAAATAAACTTAATAAGAAAATGATAAAGGTGATGAAGAACTCAGAAGGTTAGGATTTGAGAGAACACGTAGAATGAATGCACCTGCGCCATTGCGAACGGTTTTGAGCCGTCCTTCGGGGTCTCTAACCATCGGTTACTATCGTCTGACGGACCCTAACCAAGGTAGTCTACTCATACCAACATGACTGCATGGATTTGTATCATGTTTTGGTTTGGTCGCCCCCAGCTTTCTTCCAACCAAAACATAGCTCGACGAGGCGGTCGTGGATGCGCACTGCTGCTGAGTCCTATACTAGAACGAAACGGTCGTCCAGTGTTTCGGGGTTTCTAATGGTAGCCTAACAATGATTGATTCATGATTTCAACGAGGAAGAATTATCAATATTCACTGCTTATTTCTTTGAGCTTATCTCTGCCATCCTTTTCTAATGTCTTTGTTAGTTTCACAACCTAAAGAATAATGATAATAATTCAGTCGGAATATTGTCTCATAATAATATGAATATGATTGTGAAGTGACGATATTTGAGGGTTGATACTGATTCATTACCCTCCTATGCATGAATCTAACCGTTTGCTGAAGTAAAAAGATTGTGAGTGAGAAAGGAAATTCACCGATCAAATTCACTTAAGACGTGTGCACTCATGTATATGTTTATATATATTCCTCAGAGATGAAAGCCATCTGTTGGCCAATCACGTCTGCCAAAGAAAGGGCTGGTATACTGCTCAATAGTTTTCTCTATACGTCTGTGAAACAGGAACTGTGATAATGGAGGACATTCTAAAGTTGTTAGTATTTGACCATAGGCCTTTTGGGGGTATTGTTCACCTATCATGAAACAACCAAGTAATCAAAGCTGAATTTAAATACAATGTTCCAGACAAAGATAGTGGGGTCTATTTTTTCTTCACTGACTCAAATAGCTGGGACTATGTGCTATTTGCCCCTAACTACCACTCCTCTTGCCGTGTAATATTAATGTAGGATTCAGTCGGTAGGAAACTAATGACGTTCAAATCAAAATGTATCCTCCCATTGAGTTATTGACTTTCACTTAGCCATTTTTGGTAGGTATAGGTTACCTAATTATCGTGACCGATAATTAGAGACTTTGAATAACCTAACTTCAGACTCGGTTGTATTCGGCACAGGTGGATTCACTCTTTCTGTACCCTTTCTACGAATTCATTCGTCCATCAATAACCATATTCTATGTGCTTTGATTTTTTTTTCTTGCTATCACTGATACTCCTATTGTTGCTACTTCTACTACCTTAATATTCACTGTGGTCGTCTCATCTCTCTTTGTTTCGATATGATTCAATCAACTTAAACAATCCATATTTATTGTAGGTTGTACGTTATAGCTAATTGATTGACGTTTTCTAGTACATTTTTTTCTGTAATAAACTATTAAAACACTTGTCTCCTTTCTATGGTTACAATATGAATCCTTAATATCTATAAGTTATTAACATTTGTATTGTTCTGTTGAATTTTTTAGATATTAAATTGCATCTGTCATGAATTCTTGCATGTTGCAGATAGTTGTAAAAATCCAACTGAACAACTTCAATTGATATGTGACTTATTCAAAAAAGATGGTAAGTGGAGAGTATTCTAAGTACAATCATTTATTAAAAATGTGTAATTCACGCTGTATTCCTGTGTCTTTCAAATTTTTATTGATATTTAAATATATAAGGTTTAGAAGCGTTTTGTCGGTAATTGTGACAACCTATTCCGTGGAAATTTCATTTGTATAACAACGTTGAGACCTTCATTGTGTACTCTACTCTTACTTCTGCAATTCTTAATCAGATAGAAATAATAGTGTTTCGCGTGTGTGTGTGTGTATCGCTCAAGAGATTTTAAAATTCAGTTACTTATGATTTCAGAAATGCATGAAGTTACTGACAAGTGGATTGAGTCATGTTGGTAGATGTAGGCTACCTGGTTGGGTCCGCGGGGCGATAGTCACTGATGATTAGAGACCTTGAACGACATGGCTCAAAATCGTTTACAGTGGCGCAGGTGCATCCACTCTTTGTGTTCTATGAAATTCTAAGCTTCTGCATTCCTCATAGTCTCTATCTTTCTCCTTCTAAATTTATCTCACTGAATTATACTTCTCAAATCATATCTTCTCTCCCTATTCTTCTCCATACTTCTAT